TTTCTCTAGCTAGTCTCCATTGAAAAGAACTAAAAAAGTAGTTCTAACACACATCATCATCGATGAAATCGAAGCAGGTTTGAAACCCAACTTACCCATGATTGCTGAGAAGGGTCTTTCATTTAGTGTATCACCAAATATGATTTCATATTTGATGAAACTTTTTTTAACGTATGAACTTTTACCAATATCGATGAACTTTTCTTTCAAATTCGTCGAACTTTTTTCAAAAGCATAAACTTTTTTCAATGTTGTTGAACTTTTTGCAAAACCGATGAAGTTTTTTTTTTCAAATTTGGGTGAACTTTTTTTGAATTCGGAAGAACTTTTTTGAAATTTGATGAACTTTTTTCAAAATCAATGAACTTTTTTCCCAAAATTGATGAACTAATTTTAAAAATCTATGAACTTTTTTGAAAATTTGATGCGAGTTTTCAAAAATGGATGAACTTTTTCCAAATTAGTGCTTGTTTTCAAATCGATTTTTTTTTCAAATTTGTGAACTTTTGCTCGAGATGATGACTGTTTTTCAAATTCGATGAACTTATTTTAAAATCGATGAACTTTTTCGATTTCCATGAACTCTTTCTAGTTTCTATGAACCTTTTTTTGAAATTCGATGAACGTTTTTCATTTCCATGAACACTTTCCAATTTCTATGAACCATTTTTTTAAATTCATGCCTGTAATATTTTATTAGAATTCTATTTCGAATTTATACTTTGTTTTTAAAATATGTTAACTAAAGGAAGGGTCAAACAACTTTTTTTCCTCGATCTGGTGGTTACTAGTGACTACTCTTTATCCCGCTATTGTCGAATAGCGTCAGGAATTTACTTTTCATTTTTATTTTCGCTGTATTTGAAAGCAGACTGTTGGGCCGGCTCTGGAGCGGTGCGCGTGAGCGCCAGTTGGGACAACAGGCGCTGAAGGCACTGTATACCGAGAGCTCCTAGGCGGCGTCTTAAGCGCCGGCTAGAAGATCCGGCGCCCGCCTTGCTAGTTGGGCCGGCCCACTAAACGTGTTGACCAACAAAACTCGCGGGGAAAATCCCCCAAAAAAGATTGTTACATGATTCGAACTCGTGACGTTCACTCCACGTCTGTGCACCCTACCCACTGCACCTGAAACACCTAATAACACCATCGCGCCGTATTTGTTGCGAATAACCAATTGATGTTTTTGCAAAACAAATCGTGATAAGAAAACATTTATGGATTTTGAAAACGTTCATCATTTTTGAAGAAACGTTGACGAACTTGAAAAAAGTTCACCGATTTTCAAAAAGTGTTCATCAAATTTGCAAAAAAGTTCATAGTTTTTTAAATGTTCTAATTTGAAAAGGTTCATCGAAATTGAAAAAAATTGTTCATGGATTTAAAAACAGCAATCTACAAAATTGATAAAGTTCATCAAATTGAAAAAAGTTCATCATCAATTTTAAAAAAGTTCATTGGATTTTAAGTTCATCGAATATGAAAAAGTTCATTTAATTTGAAAAAAGTTCACAAATTCAAAAAAACGTTCACCTCGTTTGAAAAAAGTTCATTGAATTTTTGAAAAATCACCGAATTCAAAAAAAAGTTCACCGAATTCAAAAAATTCATCAAATTTATAAAAGTTCATCAAATTCTGAAAAAAGTTCAACAAAATCGAAAAAAGTTCACCCCGTTCAAAAAAAGTTCACGTAATTTGAAAATGATTCATCGAATTTGAAAAAAAGTTCATTGAATTTGATAAAAAATACATCAACCTTAAATAAGAAGGTCACGGATTTGAAAAAAGTTCATGGAACCTCGGAAGAAGGAAAAGAAAAAGAGGAAAAACAAAAACTGAAAAACACAAACATAAGAAAGAAAGAAAGAAAGAAAGAAGAAAAGACATAAAAATATGAAAGATAGCACGCAGTTGGGGATGGCGTGGTAGTTACTCCCACTTGCTATTAAGCAGGAGGTACGCGGTTTGACTCCAAGTACTAGCGTATATTTTTGCGGTGTGATGGGATCTAGATGGGCTGGCCCAGCGGAGCAGGGGGTATGTGCCCATTTGCGAATTGTGCTGTATCAGGCGCAGAGGGCACCGAATAGGATCCAGCCTGTATACCCCCTAACGCTCAACCTTTTTTTAGAGAGCTCCTATTGGACGCTCTTTGCGTCAAACTCGCGTCGCCACGCACAGGGGGTTGCCTAATGGGCCGACCCATTGCGCTCTACCACTGGAAGTAAAAGAAAGCAAAAACGGAGGGAAGAGCGTTGGGAGGAATCAAACCGGCGACCAACAGGTTGGAAGAGCGTGCTCCCAGCCACTCCAGCTAACTAGCATTGTTTGTACTAGAACAGTCCGCACAGAAAATAATTAGCACAAGGTACAACTGGACTTGACTGTTGTGTCGACCCGGAATTAGTTACTGTAGTGAACAACTTTTTGAACGTACGATTACACAAACAAATTTTCTGAAAACAAACAAATTTTGAATTTCCCAAACATTTTTGGAATTTGTGACATTTCTTCAAAGAACGAACATTTTTTGAATCTTGAGAACAAATTTTGAGACAGAGAACAAATTTGGAAGCACGAAATTTTTTTTAAAGCACAAACATTTTTTAAATCTCAAGAACAAATTTTGAAATGGAGAACAAATTTGGAAGCGCAAACAATTTTTTAAAGCACGAACATTTTTTGAATCTTGAGAACAAATTTTGGAATAGAGAACAATTTTGAAAAATCCCGAACAATTTTGGAAGCATGAAATTTTTTTAAAGCACAAAATTTTTTTTGAATCTTGAGAACAAAATTTGTAATAGAGAACAATTTTGAAAAATCCCGAACATATTTGGAAGCGCGAACATTTTATGAAAACATGAACATTTTATGAAATCCGGTACATTTTATGCATTTCAAAAGTTTTGAACTTTTTTGTGTAACAAGAACAATTTTTGAATTCGGGAACTTTTTTTTTGAAAACTGAACATTTTATAAAAATATGAACAAAATTTGAATATTTTGAATTTCTTTTGAAGAAAAGGAAAAATAAAGAAAACAAAAAAAATCAGGAACATTTTCGAAAATTGTGAACAAAATTTTGATAATGTGAAAACTGTTTCAGAAATATGAGCAGTTTTTGACAAAAAGAACATTTTTGAAAATTCTGAACCATATTTGAACTTTTTGAAAAGCTTAAAAAGAAAAAGGAAAAAATATTTAAAAAGAAAAAACATAGAAAACGAGAAAAATAAAAGAACAGAATAAGACTGTGAAGAAAAACCAGAAAGAACCAGTAGAAGGAACAAAAGTTTTTTGAAATTTCCGCGAACTGGATTTTGGTTTTGTCGTTGCTTTTAGTTTCTTCAAGTTTAACATTGTTATTCCTACACAGCCGCGAGCCATTTTCGCTGGCTACCGCGGCGTGTAACTCTTCTGGAGATCGTCGGTTTGATCCCTAGCAAGATCATTTTTTGCGGTTTTTTAATCTCACGAAGTGAAACCACTCAAATGGGCCGGCCCAGGGTGAGCTGCGCCCTGTGCGAAGCGGCGACTACTTGCCGCAGTAAGCGGCGAATAGGGAATTCCTTTTTTTTAGGGTAGTGGACTTCGAGGTGCGCCTAGCTGAGTGGGCTTCGTGGTTGAGGCCCAGCCGAGTGGGCCTCCTGAAATGGACTTAGGCCATCCTAGGCCTGCTCGGCCAATTCCCTGCCATTGGCGAGACAAGAAAAGAAGAACAGTCTTCCCTCTCGCAACCCATTTGGGTCGCACCAACAGAAAATTTCTGAGTTTGTAAAAAAAAACAGAAAATTTTTGCAGTCACCTCTCATCTTCGGTTCGTCCCGGATCACGAGTCTCCAAACCCAAACCCCAGAGGAGGCAGGAGGATCCAGCGCGGCGATGGGGGAGGCGGACGCGAGCACCGGCGGCGGGGATCCGCAGAAGCTGAAGCGGATCGCGGCGGGAGCGTACGATTACAAGAACGACGCGCGGGGGGCGGGGTACTGGTCCAACGTCCTCGTCCCGCCCCACCTCGCCTCCCGCCCCGACGTCGTCGACCACTTCAAGCGCAAGTTCTACCACATATTTTTTTTTAAAAACTGAACATTTTATAAAAATATGAACAAAATTTGAATATTTTGAATTTCTTTTGAAGAAAAGGAAAAAGAAAGAAAACAAAAAAAATCAGGAACATTTTCGAAAATTGTGAGCAAAATTTTGATAATGTGAAAACTGTTTCAGAAATATGAGCAGTTTTTGACAAAAAGAACATTTTTGAAAATTCTGAACCATATTTGAACTTTTTGAAAAGCTTAAAAAGAAAAAGGAAAAAATATTTAAAAAGAAAAAACATAGAAAACGAGAAAAATAAAAGAACAGAATAAGACTGTGAAGAAAAACCAGAAAGAACCAGTAGAAGGAACAAAAGTTTTTTGAAATTTCCGTGAACTGGATTTTGGTTTTGTCGTTGCTTTTAGTTTCTTCAAGTTTAACATTGTTATTCCTACACAGCCGCGAGCCATTTTCGCTGGCTACCGCGGCGTGTAACTCTTCTGGAGATCGTCGGTTTGATCCCTAGCAAGATTATTTTTTGCGGTTTTTTAATCTCACGAAGCGAAACCACTCAAATGGGCCGGCCCAGGGTGAACTGCGCCCTGTGCGAAGCGGCGACTACTTGCCGCAGTAAGCGGCGAATAGGGAATTCCTTTTTTTAGGGTAGTGGACTTCGAGGTGCGCCTAGCTGAGTGGGCTTCGTGGTTGAGGCCCAGCCGAGTGGGCCTCCTGAAATGGACTTAGGCCATCCTAGGCCTGCTCGGCCAATTCCCTGCCATTGGCGAGACAAGAAAAGAAGAACAGTCTTCCCTCTCGCAACCCATTTGGGTCGCACCAACAGAAAATTTCTGAGTTTGTAAAAAAAAACAGAAAATTTCTGCAGTCACCTCTCATCTTCGGTTCGTCCCGGATCACGAGTCTCCAAACCCAAACCCCAGAGGAGGCAGGAGGATCCAGCGCGGCGATGGGGGAGGCGGACGCGAGCACCGGCGGCGGGGATCCGCAGAAGCTGAAGCGGATCGCGGCGGGAGCGTACGACTACGAGAACGACGCGCGGTGGGCGGGGTACTGGTCCAACGTCCTCGTCCCGCCCCACCTCGCCTCCCGCCCCGACGTCGTCGACCACTTCAAGCGCAAGTTCTACCACAGATACATCGTAAGACAACGGCCTCCCCCGGTTTTTGGATCGGGCGGATAACTGCTAGTTCGATCTGTTTGACTTAGCTCCGGTGTGTTGGTGTTGGGGAGAATTAATCGTTGCCAAATGGTCGATGGCTTGAATTTAATGCCGTTAGAGACTTGAGTCCCATTGTCTGTTAATAAGAATGTAGGTTGCAGCAGCCGCACCGCTAACGTCGTACTACCAATTGGGTATTATGGGGTTGCATGATATCGGCATCATTGGGCTCAGGTGTCACATTTTGGCATTGGTTCCATGCAGTTGCCGTCATTTTAAGTTATACTATCCCACATTTATAAATTCGGTGTGCCTATACTTTGATACTGCATTGCAATGTCTTCTTTGATGAACTGTGAGTGCTTCATCTGATTGATATGGCTGAATGTAACTCAAACATCAGGAGACCCATGTTAGTCTTCCACATGGATTATTGTTAGGGCAAATTAATGCGTCTCAGTGGCGAAGATTTAATTTAATGAGCACATAATTAACACGTTCTTCTGTGCTTTACTGTTCATTTGTGCACCAAATGTTAGCTGCCTCCAATTTGTATTTTCTTTTGACGAAATAACTGAGACCCACGTAGTTTTCGCCTCTAGGAGGTACATGCAGTGTTTGCACTTTTTTCTTCAGACAGGGTGGATCTCTTTGTATGTCCAATAGCCCAATGCTAGTCCTGAGCATGTTGCTTACTGTTCCCTTCGGATTGAGTTATGATGCTGTATGGTATCAGTTGAGACAAAAGAATTGGGATTGGTAAATTGTGTGCAAGTACTGGGAGATGTAGCTTCCTTATCCACAGTCCGAACTTCTCACGTTTTCCTCACCACAACACCACCATTTCGCAGTTGCGCAGTTAGGCTTTTGAAGAGTTGACAGTTTGTTTTACTTTTATTAACCATTTATTGCCTTTGTATCTTACATGTTCAACTTGCTTTTCTTTCCTGTCCAAAAGCATGACATGTCCAACTGCTGGCTGCTAGATATTAGCATTGTTTTTGAGAGATGCAAACTGTACTCGTTAAAGAAATCTTAACCATTCACGTTGGTTAGTGAAAAGTGACTGTTCTGTCGCTACCGTCCAATTACTTTTGCGTATTATTTGCTGGTTCTCCATTTGGTCTGGTAGTATGTTTAGGTACCATCCTTAATGTCTCTGTCCAGTTCTCGATAGTGTAACGATAGTTTTACTTGTTCATCTTACAAATTATTTGCTGTTTGGAATTGAACCTTCTCAAACTGAGTCATATCCAAGTAAAATAATCCGGGTATGACAATTGACTGTCGGAATTACTAACTTTCCTTCTTTACATCTCATCTCAGGACCCTGATTTGGTGGTTGAGCCAATGTCTTCCACAAGTTCGAGTCAATCCAACAGATCAGCAGCAAGTTCTTCATCTACACCATCCAGTGAGAATTCCCGAGCTCGTGACACAGGTGTGGTGACGAGAAAATTTGGCACTTGATGTTTTTCACCTGAAGGAAGTGGCAAGATTCTTGGCACAAGGGAGTCCGGGAACTACTTCCTACCATCTACATTATTATATGTTCTGTGTTCTCAGAACCGTAGTTTTCCTGTTTGGCTTGTCGGCTTTGTAGTGAGCCAGGTTTCAGCAAAGTTGCCCCCTTTTAAAAACACAACTCTAGTGCTGAATAAACTACTTTTGGAATGGCAATTGGAACTAACTGGAAAAGAACTGTCACTGTGTTTTCTATCATATCACATGAGTCTGAACTCTACAGATTCATAACTGTTTTTTGCTTCTTCTTTTTTATGCAGGATCTAGTGCGAGATCAACTGGTGCATCGCAACCAGCACCAACAGAAAGGACGGGAAACTCTTTACGGTTCGATGGACGAACCATACATTTCTCTATCAATGCTTGGGTATGGATAGCTACCTTGTGCCCTTCAATGTAGAAAAGCATATTCATAATCTACTTGCTGTGAGCACAAGTTGTGTTATTATCGTCTTATGTTCCATTCTCTTTAGACATTTCACTTCTTTTGCCGATTACAAATTTTGTTCTTAGGCCCTGGTCGCTCTTTTTCATATGCGTGAGCCACTCAACTACTGATATCGTATATGCCAAGTAGCTTCACAAGCAAAAACAAATGTCATGACCCTATATTATTGTCTCTTAATATATGTTGTTACAGTGTCATAGTGAAATATGGTGTTATGAACTGCGGTTTTGCAGGTACTGATTGTTGCTAGTCTTGGAATCCTTCCAATTCTACCGAAAGATGTCGCAAGCAAAGCATATAGACTTTCGTTGCTAGGAACAATATGCTCGTCAGCATATTCTTTATACTGCACTTATGGGGTAGGTGTCTGCTTATCTGAATGAATAGATATAGCGTGTTTTTCTATTTTTTT